CCAACCTGGTATGAGAGACTCTGTGAGTGTCGCGGGACACTCTCCAGTATAGCTCAATGGATCGCTGAGGTGCGCAAACCGTCACACCACGGTGAGGTCCAGTCTCTTCGTGACGGTTCAGCGAACGTCCTTGTAGTGCGTGGTGAGAATGGACTAGGACACGTTAAGAGGATAGATAACAAAAATATTTTAGGCATCCGGCATTTTCAAACATGTTCTCAATATAGCATGAAAAATTTACTCAAAAGGCGTTCGCCGTTCTATGAATGATTCAGCGAACCTCTGGTCGTATTACTCGTATGGACTTCCATTCACTATGGGGCCTACTTCACGCCGCTTCTTGAATTCGCCAAACAAGTTGTCTACTGAGTACACAGGAAGGACGTAATCCTTATTGAGCTTGTCCAACCTGTTGCTAAGGAAATGATTGCCGGCTTTAAATGCGCTGATTATGAGACGCGTCTCGCGATGCTTGGCCTATTTCCTCCGGAGTATTGTCGCCTCCGAAGAAAAATACTACCTACTCGCGCTCTGTTTGAACAAGGTTTGGCCGACAGTTTTTTTTACAGTTGACCCATCTAACACATGGCAGAGGCATTGTAGAAAAAATTACAAGCTCAGATCACATCTTTAGTACGCAGCTCTTCTCATTTCGGGTAGTTACGACGCACTATGGTGCACGGAATATCTTTCCTCCGACGATTGTGCGCGGTGCATTTAGTACCAAGTTCAAAGCACTTTTAGACGCCCTATTAGTTGGGCCCTAGCGTTGCCCCGTGCTGAGAAATTGAAGAGAAGTGCTACACCCTTTTTTCGCTTGTGCCTTTCAGGCCGACAGAAACTAATGAACAACAAGAACAACCCCGACTCGGGAAGTTTGGGCAAAGCCTGACTCCGTGCGCGGTGCATTTAGTACCAAGTTCAAAGCACTTTTAGACGCCCTATTAGTTGGGCCCTAGCGTTGCCCCGTGCTGAGAAATTGAAGAGAAGTGCTACACCCTTTTTTCGCTTGTGCCTTTCAGGCCGACAGAAACTAATGAATAACAAGAACAACCCCGACTCGGGAAGTTTGGGCAAAAGCCTGAATCCTGCGCATCGATTCGTGTAAATCCGTGAAAACCGTGAGGAGGCGAAAAGCGTCGAGCGGGGATTCTCGACCAGGTTTGGCTAACATTCTGACCAATCAAGCGATGCCATTGTTTAGTCCGTAGGTGCAATTGGCACACCCACACACTGGATGTGCTGGTCGGTTATTAAGAGCGACTCGCATGTGGACACTGCAGGCAATGGCCACACCTGATTGCAGGCTATTCTATAACCCGGTGAGCATATTACAAATTTAAGAGGAATAGTGGGAAATAACCTACATGCAAGTCACTCACCTAATCGGTGTCTTGAGTGATAGGCGGAGTACTTCGAAAATATTTTGCAGAATAACCCTGGAGAAACCCAGAAGTACTGAATGAGGCGTCGACACGAGCCGGTCATCAACGACATAAATTCACCGTGTGGTACCGCTGCTTCAACTCCACGACGCGCCAGGTTACCTTGTGGCAAGTTTTTAACAGGGCCACTACTTCTGTATCGTCCACTACCTTGACATTTGAGATTCCCTACGTTTTTTCTGTCCCCGTTTGAAAATACCACTCCAATTCTGTGTTTAGTGTGTGTACGTACGTTGTTTGTCCCTACTACTTCGGTCGTTTGACCTTGAGGTTATTCAGCCATTTTGTGGTCGACTTCTTTTAAAACATGTGACTGTCTCAAGAGAAGGGGTGTTTGCCCATTTGGTTCGTAAATTTGTAGTCCAAGTTGACCATTTGTTATTGACGATCAGCTACTGTCGAGGTTTGCAGGTCTTGTGAGTTGATGTCTTACGTTAATATTACCTCCGACTTTATTTCGCTTTCCCCGAGGTTCTCGTATTACGCGTCACTCAATGACATCGTTTTGCTGTAACATTCTCGACACGTTACGCCGCGTTGTTTGAAATAAACACGAAAACCCTGGGGACCATTGTGAACGAAACTGGATCTGAGGAATTCGCGGAAGCAATTGACGCTGCGGAGGGAAAAATCACAGTGCCGTTTGCTTTGCTCCGGGTTTTGTAAATTACTTTCTACACCTAGTCGCAAAAGTGGTGTAGCTTTGGAAGCTATAATGGTTGCTCATGCCCATTAATATCGGGTAAAAGAGAGGCCGAACTCCAACAGGCTCTGCTAGATGCACAGATCAAAACAGAGCAAGGTACGATCGATTTGAAGGCCCAAGAGGACTAACTAAATGAAGTTTTGGAGCCACTGTCGCAGTATCCGAAACTAGGATGTGTTGGTGATATTAGATAGTCACCTGCACTGTCGCTTCCATCACCTTGCGACAGCCACCGTGGAACTACTCAAGGTAGGATTATCATGGTCCGGGCCTAATCCAGATCAAAACTGGAGATTCTAACGCCAGTTTGAGATGAATATCGCGGTGAACTTGGATGGCACTGATCAGAGACTTCTGTATTATGCTTAACACTGTCAAAGGTACACGAAGGCAGTCATCGAAGAATGTGTGAGACTCTCGCCGGAGTCACCATACTCTGAGGAGATTCTGCGCAATCTTTTTAATCAGCTTCACGTCGTTGCTCATCTTCTCCCTGAAACCCTGTTCTGATTGCCATGACTGACCACCGGGACAGACAAGTGTCTACCGGACTTATGTGCAAAAACGCGAAGTTGTGTTATTTCGCCAACGCGGGTGCGTTGCGCTTCAAATTTGAACTCGCTCGTCCTCGTAGAGAGAATAACGCCTTCTCTTCACTCACTACTGCAGAACAAGTGCGCTGATGTGGCAGATAAAATATCGATGGCTGGCAGGATCCAACGTTCACTAATTTAGTAGAGTATGCGGAATCGCGCTGCACGATTGTATGCAGTCAGCTCATGCAGCTGTCCCGAGAAGGAGGCTAGACCTCCTCCTGTGCTATTAACTGACATTGCCTGTCGAAGAAAGTCCAACTTCAGTCCACTGGGCAGATGGTCAACCCGACCAAGATTTTTACTCAAACTAGAAATAAAATGGCCTACGCGACCTCGACTGATGCAGTCCAATGAGGTCAATTTGAAGAGGTTTGCAGCACAGGTTAACCCAGATATGGCATGTACAAACTAGCTACTCGGTTTTCCCTATACGTGCTAGCAGTTTCCGAACTCCGCCATGCCGTCGATTGTCTGACAAATATCATGCAGTTCAGTCATTTTGCACTGAATAATATGTGGGTAATAGCTTGTACGGGTGGAGAGCATCACAACACTCGGTGGCGAAACAGCAGCTTTTGACATTTGTTGATTACTTTGAACGATGTTGCGTGAGTGCAGACTTGGTGACTCAAACCACAGTTGGTCAGCAGAAAATCCAGCTTTTCTTCCGAGCTGACATCCTTTTACTACCTGGATTTTACATCACTTTCGTGAAATGGAAGCGCACTGCTCTGTAGTGCAGGTCTTGGCTTCTACCCGACGGCAATATTGGATTGTCACTGAGACCGGCGTCGTTAAACGAGTGATTAGTGCATGTTCTTTATGCAGGCGCTGGTTTGAGCAGCCCGGTACACAAATGGTCTCATTACTGGCAGACTGAGGGGGAGCGGGCTTTTGCCTCTTCATGCGCGTTTTGGTGAGCAACTTTAGACCTTTTAAGATCAAACAAGAGCGTTCACTGGAAAAACGCTACGGCCGTATCTTAAGCTGACTAAAAACTCGAGAAGATTTTCTGTTAATGGAATGTCGAACGACTTACTTCCGTAATGTTTGATGCGATTCGTTGGTAGATGTTGCGAGCCCACCGAAATCGATAATAATAATGGAATTAACCTCGTTGGAGAACCAACAAAATTCTGGGATGGTATAAGTTGATGGAGCCAGATTAAAGTACAGGATCGGCTTTTGACTATAGATGTGCAGCAGCACTTCAACCCACTAGCAGGTAATCGCCGCGGTGGTGTGAAAGCGTTTAATCCGGTCGGTACCACGTATATTTTTACACCTATTTAAGAAATAATGGTTGGCTGATGAAAAGCTAGACACGTTGCTTATACAGGCGGAGCAAGATCTAAATAATCCAACTATAATCTCACTATCAGCAGGCGGTAACGATGTAGACACGGTCACTCGAAACGGTTGGCTGTTTGTGCGATGCTGCCACGCCATAGCCGGGCGCGACGATTTAGCTTTGCGATACCATGCCGGTTGCTAGTGTATTCTGGCAACGCTGAATAGAGAAACATCGGCCAACATTGCATTCGTGCACTAAGTGACATAGAGCATTTCGAGAACTAAAACGAGAAGACTTGGTTCTAGTCTCTGGTGAAGATGTGCCTCGTGAAAAATGGCCTCTAGGAGAAGTGGGTAGTTTTGAGGAGAGCTCAGTGCTTGGTGAGAACCCTGCAGGTTTGGAAGGTGGGCAGCGTTCTTAAGGGACATATCAGAGAAGCATGTTTACTTGATGAACGCGATGAGGTTTGTGTAAGTCGGCACTCGTGGCAGGAGTGGGCTCGGATCTCTGGCTGGTGGTTTACCTCACAGTGGAGCTGACCAGACGTACAGTGCAAGAACCGACGCGTTCGCTGAACAAGCGTGGAGAATTTGAATTGAGGTGTATCATCCATTACTTTGACACTTAAAATTCGATAAATTTTTGTCCCTATTTGTAACCAACATTCCACTTTTGTTATCCATGTGTGTTTATAAACCGTCGTTTGTTTGTATCCACCACTTCACCCATTTGACCTTGAGGCCATTCAGCCATTTTGTGACCGTCTCACATGGGAGACTGTTCAATCATTTTATTAGCACTTTTTTCAGTCCACGTGAACCATTTGCTGTTGACATTGCGCACAAAATGTTCTGTGGAGTTATACAGGCCTTAGCGTATTGTACCTCGGAACGCAATCAGTTTGAGAAAAAAATCCTGCACCAGACGAATGTACACCTAAGATGACGAATGAAAGGAATATACAGCGCGCAGTTTTTGGGAGCCGAAAGTTGGGCAGATATATCTCAACTTGGTTAGAACATTGTTCCATAGGAAGTTGGATATATCATCAAAATAATCCATGCACACTCTGAAAAGTTTCGTTTGGAATAAGCTTGTCGGATGATAATTTGGAGACTGGCATTTGTTCCATAAAACGCCTGCCGTCACTTTTTCAGCCGAGCGTAGAGGAACGATGTCGAGTATTTTTAAGGTGAGACTGTCAAATGCATCTCAGTGCAGGGTGTCAA